CCCCCACCCCCACCCCAGGGAGAAGAGGGGAGGGGGCAGCCGGGGAGAAATAGAGCGGGGCACGAAGGCCCAGAGCTGCTAGGAGCTGCGAGCTGAGCTCGGAGGCCTGAAACAGGGCCAGCTCCTGCCCTAGATAGGGCGTCCGATGGCCTACTTGGGCCGGCCCTGGAGGTCCCCCGCGGGCGCCTCGCTCTCTGCGGAGGGGTGGGTTGGCTCCTAAAAGTAGGCTAGGGCCCCATGCCACTGATATGCAGCGAGATCTCTGAAGCATTCCCATCTGGATAGCACACCTGGTATTTACTGAGCACTTACTTGTTCAGAAGGTTCTCCATGCTGTAAATTGTTCCACCCTCATGACAACCCTGCAAGAGGGGAGGGATGGAGGGGTCTGATTGCTGCTTTGCATTTCTGTGGGGAACCTGAGATTTAGCCTGGAAAGCTGGCTCCCCAACTTGTAGTGTAAGAGGCCGGTAACAGCGGAGGTTAATGCTCCTCCTAGAACATACTATCCCCATCTGTAAATAGGATTGCTGAACAGGCCACCTGCGGGTTATCAGACAGACCAAATGAGAACCCAGGAAGCTGCCCAAGAAGTTAAATGCATTCAAATTTGGATGGCAGGTTGATATGATACTGTGCCTTAGTTTCCCTATCTGTTAAGGTGGGGGAAGGAGAAATACCCACAGCTGCCTCCCATGGGTGTGGGGAAGTCCACGGATCTTAGCTCGCAGAGTTCAGCATTGGTGCCAGGTATATAATTTGCTCCACAGATCTCAGCTGGGATGCCAGAAACTCATCACTGCCCCAAATATTTCACGGTATGGAACTATCAGGACACCGTCACTTCACATCTCTTAATCTTTTTCTTCTGGGAGTATAATAATAGTCTCTACCATACCAGTGTTCTCATCTGTATAATGGGGGTGATAGTGCCTTACACTGTTTTGAAAAGATTAAGTACTTTGTTACATGTTATTATTTTTATTATTATTATACTTTTAACAGATTTCCCAGTTATTCCCCATATTAAAAGAGACAGTACAGATAAGGCACTTACCACAGTGTCTTGACCTAACTATACGCTCAATAAATGATACTGTTTATTCCGTTCCTGGGTCCCCGACAAAGGGACTACAAGTACCAGCGGGACCTGCGCCTTCAGTAGGGGCCCCTCCGCCTGGCGCCGGCGCGGGATATGCCGGGAGTTGTAGTCCTCGAAGGCAGACCCTGCTTGGTCCCAACTTGGGGGAGGAGGTTGGAGAGCCGCCCTGCCGGCCTTTGAATTTTGCCGCGAAAAGCGCGCGTGGCGGCCCCCGGCCCCGCCCCCCGCAGGACGCGGCGCCGC